GTTTTTAAGCCTCCATGAGGTGCCCTTTCCCCTCATGTGCCCGGCGCCTCTGACTCCCCGATCGGGGAGTGTGCTCGCGTCGTCCTCCCCTCGTCTTCCTTTGACCTCATTCATGTCTATCTCCTCCCATTTAGTCTCATTGTCTTCTGCTTAGGTTAGCGTGGCGTCCGCTCTCAATTTCCAGGTGAGTATTAGCCTTCGTTCGAAAGATATTGACTCTTCAGCGAACAAAAGCGCGCGCGCGCTCTACCTCCTACCAACCACCGCCTCCTTCGTTCACCACCGGATTCTCCCCGTCCACCACCACCGAATTCTCCCCATTCTCCACCACCAGATTCTCCCCGCTCAAATCGATTCTGCAGGCCTCCCACATCCGCCATGCACGCACGCCCTCACCCGATCACAATGGCTTGCGAGCGAGCGAACGCATGCAAAACACGGCGATGGGTCAGCGGCGACGCAGCAGGAGGGCCAGTCGTTGGGTCTCAGGGAGTGGGTATGTGGGCCAGAGCGGACGTAGGGCGGGTTGGGACGCTATGCTAGGTGAGCCGTCGTCATTCTCGCCCTTCTACAGCGTACCGGTGCGTGCGCTCGCGTCCCTCACCACCACGGCGTGCAAACACGCCGTGTCGTTCGTTCGCCGCTACCACATTCCCCGCACGGAACGAGACGACTCCATCGCGTACGGCCACGCTATCATCGCCGTCAACGTAGCGTCACGAACGCGCGCACGTCTACAAGGCCGGCCCACTGTCGCCAGCGGTGCCGCAGCAGGAGGGCGAGGTGGGGATCTCACGGAGCGCGTAGGTGGGCGAGAGCGGACGTAGGGCGGGTAGGAACGCTACATCAGGTGAGTTCCATCAGGCTGTATCGGGCGTCGCACCACGGCGCATGCATTCACTGTTTCAGCGTCCTTCCTGCCTCTCGTTCGACCACCCCAACGCGCTCTGCCGACCTCGAAGACCCACGCACAAGCCCACGCAGTCCATCGTGCCCGCGCCTCGCGGATCGTCCATCTTTCTT